CATATTGTTTTATGACATTGGTTAACAACCTCACGACATGTCAACACTCTCCCTTCTCAACCTTGGAGCACCTCTTTTTTTTTGGTGAAAATATACATAGCCAAAGTTACACCATTTCAAAAGTTTCTACATGTACAATTCAGTGACATCGATTACATTCTTCCAGTTGTGCTGCTATTCTCACCATCCTTTTCCAGATTATTCCATCACCGTTATCATGTCAACACGGGAGAGCAACATATATTAATGACAAATCTAGATATTTGTTATAGACAGTATAAACAGTTTCTGTACATTGGTGTTGAATAAATTCAAAACAAGGAAATGACTAATGGGAATGGTATTGGTCTAAGAAGGATTTGTAAAGAAAGTGCATTGAATTGGGTTTTAAAGAGTATATAATAGGCATTGATTGTTACTGAGTATGGGGATAAAAGTTAGCACTTAGATTGTTGCTGATTTTACATTAGCTTGGTGGCTTAAGAGAAATCAATGCAGTGACTCAAACCCTTTTCTCTTGTGGTTTAAACTGTTGAAGAGGTCTTGGGTTCCAAATTGATAAAGAATGGCTTCACATGCCCAGTCCTTGCAAAGTTCTCCTGAAGATGGGTGAGGATGGCCTAGATTAGAATTAGCCTTTCTTATTATAGGAAATCAAAAGGCCTTGGGAGCCCTCTTTTTCCCCTGGGATTTGGACTGACAGACTTTCACGAATAGTTAAGTGCTAGATTACTAGCTGAAAGGTCGGCAGTTCGAATCCACCCAGAGGCACCTTGGAAGACAGGCCTGGCAATCTGCTTCCAAAAGGTCACAGACATGAAAACCCTACGGAGCAGTTCTACTCTGCACACGTGGGGTCGCTGAGTCGGAATTGACTCAAGGGCAACCACCAACAACAACGTTCTAGGAAATCAAAACAGAAGCCTTGGGAGCCCCTTTTTCTCCTGGGATTTGGGTCAACAGACTCATTATTACAGTGAAGGTTAAGGAAATCTTGTTTGTTCTACCTCCATTCAGAATCCAAAGTTCATACCTGTGACAAGAGGGTTGAGTCCAACAAGCAGGGTCAATCCTGCAGGTATTGTGTACACCACCTGTTAGCAAAAAGAGAGAAAATTATGTGGGTTAAGAAGCATTTCCAATATATGAGATGTTCAGAGGTATCTAGGAAGTAAAGAAAAATATCATCGGTAACCTTACATTCCATGATTTACTTCTCGGTTTCAGTAACAGTTGAGGAAGTGGTAACCTCTGCTTCCATGGCACTTACCATGTCAAGTTGCAGTTATATCTGCCTTCCTCCTAGACTGTAGCCTATCCCAGAAAGGTTCATTCATCTCCGAACTCTAGCACTGAGCATAGAGTTTGGGTCTTAAGATACGCTGATCTCCCAGTCTCTCTCAAGCAACTTCCATGCCAAAATTCCCTTTCTCCAGTTGCATAAAAGAAAATTCTTTTTGAAAAAGTAGAGCAGAAACAGCCATAATTAGCTATATAGCCCTGCTGGGTCTGACCCAATGAACCATCGAGCCCAATATTCCACCTCAGCAAGTGATACCACAGAAAGTTTAATAACAATGCATGGATCAGATACGCCCACTAAGAGCAGGCTCTTTATTTTGGAAACTGTTAGGTTGGTTTGGGGTTTTTAAGACTGGCCCTAACGAGGCTGTATTCCCAAAACTCATTCATAGCAAGCAGAGGGCAAGTAGGGGAGGGGAGGTTTATAAGCAGCGTGAAGATTTTCCGAGAAATGTAGCTGCTCAATCACATCGATTGTGATGTTTATGTCAGACATCTTTAGTTTACTTTAAGGTTGTCAGAACTGTACATTTTAAGTGATTTGTTTCACAATAAAATCATGTCTGTGTTGACTCTGGGGAGAAAGAATATTTGGATCACAAACTCTGTGTTCATCTTTCCTACTCCATCCCTAATAATTACTGGAATATTGGCCTATCGACATTTCCAAGTCAGGTAATCTCTCACAGATGGATGGTCATGCTGCTGAAGATCACACATTCTCAGACTTTAAGGTGCACAGGAATCATCTGGGCACCTTGTTAAAATGCAGAGTGATTCAGGTCTACGGTAAGGACTAAGATTCCGCATTTCTAACAAAGTCCCAGGTGATGCTGCCATTGCTCTGAGAACCACGCTCAGAGCAGTAAGGGGGTAGATTTCCCCAGAGAAACACTACATGGGATTTATCCACTAAGGCTTCATTTTATAAAATTAAATTTTTAGTGGATAAATAATATACATACATGTATATATAAATCACATGTGTATATTTATAAAACACACACACATCTATAGTGAGAGAGAAGTCATACACATGAGAAAAGATTTAAATGTGCTCTCTATAAGAAATCTTTGGCAGAGATTTTTAAAAAATGTGCACTCAGCTGTATGAGATGTCTGTCATTAATTGAGTAGGGGTCTAAAGCCTTACTTCAGTGCATTGTAAACATGAACAAAACTTTTTAAACTAAGTAATGGTTTCCCATGGCAATTGTGACATGATGATCCTTATTTAAATGCTCTTCTCTATCTTGAATGAAATGAAACTTTGAGGGCAGAGAGACTGAAAGTAGTTGTTTTCTAGTCCACAAGTTAAAACGATGCAGAGTACAAACACTCAGTGAATTCAGCAGAACCTACTTATAATGGTCTTTTAACTTTTGTTTGTGGATTTTTTTTTTTTTTTAAAGTAAAGGTATCATAGTATTCATTTACTGGACTTAGCTGAGTTCAGCAATAGTCATTGAGTACCATGCAGCTATTCCTAATTCCTTTCTCCTTTGTCCACCTGGCACTATAAAAGCTGAAAGTGCCAGTTTGTTTTCCACCCTCTCTTGTAGGTAGGGGTGGTCATGTTCTAACATGGAGGGGAAATCTTCTAGAGACAAAGCTATACTCAAAGTATTTCACAACCAATATTCATGGCTGCTGACCAATCAGAACAGATCCCAGACAATAGAGTCGCTACGAGTTGGAATCAACTCGACTACAGTGGGTTTCGGCAGTGGGTTTTGGTATGTACCAACTGGAAACATTTTCCTCCCTGATAAAAGGAAGGAAAACACAGTTTTTTTGCTCCTGTCTTGTTTCTTCCCACTTGAGGTACTTTTTCTAGAGGATGAGATGCTTGGAGCTGCAGCAGCCATCCTGTAAAGCATGAAAGGAGAAATACCATTGGGGGTGGCAGAGAAGAAAGCAAGCCCAGGTCCTTGATGACACTTGACCATTAAGCACCAGCTTCTGAACTTCTTAAGTGAGGCACTCTTTGTACTTTTATAACATGCTGCTCGTTTGATTTTCCATTATTTGCTGCTGTATGCATCCAGATACAAGTATCCTCCATGAGCAAGGTGAAGCAGGGAACAGTACCAGCCCTCAAGGCCCAGTAACCCAGTATTCATTCATTCATGCATCCATTCATTCTTTCATTCACTGAAGGGAAGGGTCAATACAGGAAGGTCTGCCATATGGAAGGCTCCATGTTATGTTGCCTGAAGACTATGATGAAGGAGAGCTGGTCCCTGTCTTCCCAAGTGCTATTTCCGCTGGCATGTACAGAGCCAACACTAATGCATGAGGAATGTTGTTAGTGCTACAATAAGCATTCAAAAGAAGGATAGTCAGAACTCACAGGAAAAAGGCAGAGAGATTTTTTTGGATGAAATAGCCTTGAAGCTTGGGTAGAATATAACATACAAGAATTCTAAGGGAAAGGCACAGTAATTATTATAGGTGGGCTTGGGCTTCAAAGGCCAAGCTGGGAAACTAGTGCATTGAGGCCATATTGTGGTGGGCCTTGAGTGCCAAGTTGGGAAGTTTCAACTTACAGATCTTGGGAAATGACGTAAGATTTTGAAGCAGGAACTGATGTACAGAAGTATTCTAGGAGTGGAAGAGATCAGAGATAGGCATTAGAGTTAGGAAGCTATTGCAAGGGTCCATGTGGGAGGCGGTAATGAAGGGCTGAACTGGGATGGGGAGGATGTAGGGACATGGGATTTATTATTCATATTATGTCACCTAGGCATAAAGAGAAAGGTTAAATATACTGCTAATGCTAATAGGCAAATAAGCCATTAAACCTAGATTATTTTTTGTTTGTTTTGTTTATTTTGTTTTTGGAGGGTAGATCTCAAAGGCAGTGGCAAGAAAGAGAGAGATGTTAAAGATGACTGAGGTTTTGAGCCAGGATGACTCGGAGAATGATTCTTCTGATAATAGAAATGGGTGAGTGAGTAGGAGTGGGTTTTTTGAAGAGGCAGTTTGGGGCAATTTTGAAGAGCCAGTGTGATGTACAGGTGAATATGTCCAGCAGTTGGTTGGAAATTCAACATTAAGCTGGATATATGAGACTTATCAGCAGAGAAATAATATTTGGAACCAAAAATATGGACCAGAGTGCTCAAGAAGAGGCAATTTGATTTAACCCCAGGGATACTGAATCTGGATAATCACACTGGCTCTTCAGAATCGCTCAGGGTCCTATCCAATATCAGAATGTGGTTCTACTGTCCTAAAAACTAGAATTTCACATTCTAATTCTACATATGTTCACTCGTTGCTAATCTATACATTGTCAACATTATTCAAAAATGTAAGAAACCTCTCGTCGCTAATATTATAGTCTTTATATCTGTTTTAAATGAAATTGGACAAAAATCCAGATATTTCAGAAATGGATGGGACAATCTCCCCCTCCTCCAAAAGGCTCAAATCAGAGCATTAGTTAAATGAATTCTAGTCTTTAATGGTTTCATAGTCTTAAATTACTTTCTATAAATATAACTCACTGAATTAGCAGAATCACAGACCTTGAGACTGCCATTTCCTGGTTGAATGTTTGCTGGAGTTTCTGGCTAGAAACTCCTGAGGAGTGGTTCAGCTTAACTCAAGAGGTCTACTCTTTGTCCTCATGAGAAAAGGAAATACTGCTAAAAAGCTTCCATGTCGCCAGAAATTTCCAAATTTATACACCCCTTCCCCACGCCAAGATTTTAGGGAAAAGAGTCTACAAAGGGTCTGCTTTCTAAGCTTGCAAATAAAGCACACAGGAGGGAGCAAACAGATACAGTTGTGTGCTTCCTGCCATTCCACAATTGCTTTAAATGGAGGCGAGTTCCCAAAGCAGTTCATACTCACCATCCACAGCTCTGCATCTGGATCATTTACCTGAAATTCCAAAACATCAAGGTATCAGCAGGCATACTATACCGTATTTCATTCCTACATTTGGTCTGCTCTTTTATTCAACCAACATATGTTGAGCTAAGTGCGACACTGCGGTAGACACCGAGGGAAAAATATGAAAAAGGCATAGTCTGGCAGATCATGATGGTTGAAGGGGCTTCTGGCTGAACACGACAGATGGCTTTAACATACAGCTTCACAATTTAAAAAAGAACTGCACAGGAACCCTGTCCCAAACCTAGGAAGGGTATTTTACTGGTCTTGCAGTATCAAGAAATGAGGAAAACGATTATGAAGAGGGCCCCAAAGCAGGCTTGAGAGGATAAATATGCTATAAAGGGTTTTGTTTCTGCTTCCTCCTTCTAGGCCCTAAATTTTGTTCAGTTCCATCCACAGGGTGAATATTAAGGTGCCAGGGCTGCTTCTGCTCACGGTCTTTTCAAACTAACAGGAGCTGAACCAGCTTGATTCCTTAACGGGACATTTGAAGAAAGAAGGCATGTCAGGATTTCAGGGGTGTGTGTGTGTGTGTGTGTGAGAGAGTGCGTGAAGTGAGACTGTATGGAGACAGTGTGTGTGAGTGTAAGAGTGTGCGTGAGAGTGTGTGTGTGCGTGTGTGTGTGTGAGTGAGAGAAAGTATAAACCCCAGTTCCGCCCTCCCATATGTATAACCGCATGGGCGACCCTGCCGGCTCATTAGTCCACACCACACGCAGGGCAGAGGCAGCGCCCGGAGCCCGGCAGTTCGCTCTCCCACAGCCTGCCCCGGGCCAGGGGGGCTGGGGGCGCCGCCGCGGCCCGCCTGACCTGCACGGAGGCCGCCAGCGCGAAGAAGGCGGCCATGAGCAAGTTGCACAACCTCCACAGGGCCGGAGCCCAGGACCCCGCTACAGGCGCCATCGCGTCGCCGGGCGGCCTGGGCGGGGCGCGCGGGCGGGCGGGGACAGACGCAGGGCGGAGACGGCGGCCCCGAGCGCCGGGCAGCGAGCGATTCCGGCCGCCCGGGCGTCACCCTCTGCGTTGCGCGGCGCGGGACGCCCCGGCCGGGCCTTCCCTGAGGACGGTTCCGAGGGGCCGGGGAAGCGCGCCCGAGCGCTTACTGCCGACTCCCACTTAGGCCTCCCCAGACGTGGCCAGGTGTCGGGAGGGTGAGGCCCACAGGGACTGGGTGACTTGCCTAGGGTCGCATGGCCTCAGTGGCGCAAGGAAGTCGCATTCGAACTCATGTAGGTCCAACTCCAAAGCCTGTTTTCACTAAGGCCTTCCTCATATTTTAGAAAAATAGGCGTGGGGGGTGGTTTCCGGTTAGTGTTTATGCATTTCTTTCCAAGGCTCGGGAACTCTGAATGTCCTGTAAGCATTATGGTAATTTCTAAAGTGAAGACGGTTATATTAACATACAGCTCGCAGCTTTTCCCACAGACAGGCGCATTTATCTTCATGGGTTTTTATTATAAAAGGTATTTACATATTATACATATTTACAATTCTTACCCACCACCAAAACCAACAAAATTTCCACAAGCATTGCTCATGAATTTCTTATGAACGAAAGACTGAAATATTCACTCTTCTCCTTCACTTGTTTCCCAGCCTGTATCTGTTTGGTAATTTACCCTCTGATTAGTTCCTCGCTGGGCTCATTTACACATCCATAGGCCTCATCATTCTGGCTGCTCTACGGAATCTTTATCGCCTCACAGTTTGAGCTTCTGTTGCCTGTCCGCCTTTCCTTTCAGCTAAATCTCTTAAAATGCTTTAGGAGGTTTTTTCCCCAGCTCCACTTCTTTCAGGAAACGCTCACTGTCAGCTGGTGCCAGGCCCTGGGTTGGGATTTGCTGTATGCTCTCCAGGAAAGGAGCTCATATTGAAGCAGTGACCACACAGAGGGATAAAGGCGGGGGTGGGGGGGCAGGTGTGGGGTCAGACAAGGCTCCTTAACTGAGCTCCACCATTAAGTCAGCCATGGGATCAGGGACAGGTCACAACCAGCCTACCCTCACTGTCATGTTCCTTACCTGACGGAAAAGGTGTGGATGTGGGGAGGGGGGCATGATTATAATACTTGCTCTGCCAATCATACAGGGTGTGGGTGGCAAAGGAAAACATGGTGTGGAGATGCTTTGTAAGCTAGTTCAGGCCATGCACCCACCATGGAGTTTTCTAATTCTCACCGTTGTCTGGGACCCTGAAGGTCACTGTAGTGAACACCTGTTCTCATTGCCTGCACAGGATACATTCCCTCTTCTTCTAGGGTTAGGGGATCCCATCTCCCACTATCAGGGCATGTGGACTAGGTGGGGCTGGCTTTTCTCACCCATTTCAGGGATAGGCACTTGGCATATCCCATCCTCCTGAGCACAGAGATGGGGTCTGGGTGGGAGTATGAGCCAGATTGTCCAGATTCAGTCCTAGGACTTGTGCTGGACCTGGGGTTGCCAGATAAAATAATGGCAGATCAACATTATTTCAGATCAACATTATTTCAGATCAACAGTAAGTAATTTTTTAGTCTAAGTACGTCCCAGATATTTGCTAAATCTAGTTAACTCTAACTAGACTATTTAAAGAGAATCTTTCTTTTTGCTGAGTGTGTTGAGCTGGTAGAATGTAAGCCTGGAGCTGCTGGGGCCACTGCGTGGAGAAGGCCTTCCTTCGGGTGAAATCAGTGTAGAGGAAAACAGAGTTGAGCAGTAGAGAAAGACAGCAATCGGAGACATCACTTGAGGCTTTGGATCCAGCCATGCCTGAAGCCGGACCTTTCAGTTTGTGAGCCAGCCAGCCAACTTTCTTCTTTATATAGTTGTTGTTGTTAGGTGTCCTAGAGTTGTCACAGTGACCCCATGCATAATGGAATGAATTGGAGATTGGACCATTGTCATCCATAGGGTTGTCATTGGCTGATTTTTGAAAGTAGATCACCAGGCCTTTCTTCCTAGTCTGTCTTAGTCTGGAAGCTCTGCCAAAACCTGTTCAGCATCACAGCAACACAAAAGCTTCCACTGATAGACAGATGGTGGCTGCACATGAGATGCATTGGCCAGGAACCAAACCTGGGTCTCCCACATTGGAAGACTAGAATTCTACCACTGAACCACGACTGCCCCCAGAGCAGACATAGGGTAGTTCATATAAAGACACGAATTGCCACCTGTGCCCACAGGATTGAGAAAAAGCCAGTAAACGCATTAACATATCTAAAGAAGAACATCATCGGAAAAGGGGAGATTGGTGGTCTGTGGGAGCCCAGCAGGGGTCAAGTCAGGGAGGCAAGTGCTGGCAGAGCTCATAGATGTGGTGAAACTCACGTGAGATTGTTCACTACAGCTTAGTAAATACACAGAAATAAGCCTGTGTATACCTTGCTTACCTGTTAATCCACCCCTGACAAGGATCGATTTCCTCTTGGAAAACCCATCTGTTCTTTGTGAAGGACTCAGGTTTCTACTCTTAGCAAAACTTAGACCATATTGTGAAAGCCTGAAAGCTTACTCGCATCAAAAGATCCTGGCTCAACTACTTTCCTCGAAGCCCATGCTTTCCCCTTACACCACTAGGAGACTATGGTTCAGTGCACTCGCCACATGTATTTACATCCATCACATCCGTATGAAACACTCCTGGAGTCATTGGTTTCATTCATTCAGTGAATATTAATTCAGGACTTGCTATGTGTCAGGCACTATGCTGATAGCGGAGGATGTGATATGGACAGAAGAGACAGTCCTTGCCCTGGTGGAGCTTACAGTCTCAACAGTAATTACAAGATGAAGCAGGTGATTACAGCAGGTAGTTGTGATTGGTGCTGAGAAGATGTGAGGGCTGCTATGGACATGAGTGCTCTGAAAAGTCTCTGAGGAAGTGACTTTTCAGGTGAACCTTGGAAGAAGATTGACAGGTGAAGGGTGCGTAAACTAGCGCTTAAGGCAGAGAGAAGGGCGTGAGAGAAGGCCCGGGATCCTGAAGGCCACCAGGTCCAGGGCAGGGAGTGAGGGGTGTGAGTAGAGAAAGAGACACATTAAGGAGTTTGATTGTATCCAGAGTGCTAGGAGGAGCCCCTGAAGCATGCTGAGCAGGGGAGGGGCAGGCTCAGCTGTCTCCTTGGGCTGCAGGAGAATGGACTGGGAGAGCCGAGAGGAGAAGCAGGGGGTTGGTTATGAGGTGTTTGCAGTAGACCAGGTTAAGATGATGGTGGCTGGGACAAGGAGCGTAGTAGTGGTGATGGAGAGAGAGAAGTGTGAGTGAAGGACATTATTTAGGGAATAAAATCAGCGGGGCTGTATGAGGGGAATAAAAAAGAATCCATTCTCTATGTGTTGACAAAAGTTTTTGAGCCCGAATGGGTGAGGACCAGATGCTGGAGGTGGGTGAACACGTTAAGGAAATGCACCTGCCAACATCGGGCGCCTTCCCTGACATAGCCTTTGCTCCACACAGTAGCCTCAGAATGGCAGCACCTGTTAATAATTTACCTGGCGTCAGTTGGATTTCCCTAATCTCAGGTGGGTGTGAGAGTGCTCTTCTAGTTCTCTGTACGCTTTGCTTTTGTTGCTTTTGGTCACATCCTTGGACTATCCCACAGTTGAAGAAAGTAATAACTGTATTTTCATTTCCCTCCCGAAGTACCTGGCATACCTGAATACCAATGGTATCAAACAGTGAGTGAGAATACATTTAAATGTTGTAGAATATTGCTGGAGGTTGGGTTTGATAGTGGGAGGGATGTAATAGTTAACATTTATTGAGCCAACTGAGTTAGGCAACACTCTATGTAGTTTGCATATATTGACTCATGTCATGCCCAAAACTGATCTATTAGGTCAGAGCTGTTATTATCCTCAAGGAGCCCTGTTGGCACAATGGTTAAACACTTGGCTGCTAATTGAAAGGTCGGTGGATCAAACTTACCAGCTGCTGCTTGGGAGAAAAGACCTGGTGATCTACTCCTGTAAAGATTACAGCCTAGGAAACCCTATGGGACAGTTCCACTCTGTCATATATGGTCTCTATGAGTCAAAATTGAATCGATGGCACACAACAAAAACAACATTATTAATCCCATTTTATGGACAGAGAAACAGAGGCATAAAGTAGCTTTTAAGTCCCCTGATGAGAAATAAGCAAGGAACCCAGCTCTCTGACCCATGAGTCAGAAACTGGACTTCTCCAAGCCCATGGACAGCCCATCCACAAGTTCAGGAAAGTAGTAGGTGAAGGGGCCCAAAGCTCTCTCTGCCATGAAAGTGAAGCATTTCACCAACAGCTGTTTCCTCCCATAAACTGGAGAGGATGCAAGGGGTCATCTGTGACCAGTGTATATAATCTCCAAAGGCCAAAGGGCCAATCCTTCAGGGCCTGCTTTGATGCCATTTCCTATCTCTTAGCTGTTTTAAAGGAGCCCTGGCAGTGCAGTGGTTAAAGCACTTGGCTGCTAACCAAAAGGTCAGCGGTTGGAACCCACCAGCCGCTCCACGGGAGAAAGATATGGCAGTCTGCTTCTGTAAAGATTTACAGCGTTGGAAATCCTATGGGGCAGTTCTACCCTGTCCTATAGGGTTGCTATGAGTTGGAATCAACTCGACAGCAGTGGGTAGCTATTTTAAAGACCAGAAAGATTTTCCACCTGGGTGCTTGACTTAGGTCCTGATTAGATGAAGCTGTATTTGGAAGTAGGAAGGCAAGCAACTTTAAAGTCATCTCTCTACCTCTGAAGATCTAATTTAGAACTGGGCTGTTACAATTGTTTCCACAAGGTGGCAGTCTTCCGCTACAAATGGAGTCAGAGACGCCAAGTGGAAGGAAAACAGGAAGGTGATAAAAGGGGGGCTTGTGCCTTCCATTGGAGTCTCTGGGTGGTGCAGACATTTAAAGTGTTCAGCTGCTAACCCAAAAAAAGGTCG